TGTGTGTGTGTGTGTGTGTGTGTGTGTGTGTGTGTGTGTGTGTGTGTGTGTTTCTATCAGGCTAAAACCCTGACGGCAACACAGGTGCATCTTGTTTGCTTCCATCGAGTGTGTGTGTGTGCGTAGCAGCAGCATGGAACATGTTTTGATCGTAGCTCATTGGCTCCTGCCTGTGTTTCAGTCAAGATGAAGGTGACGCTGACGGCTTCCCAGAGCTCCAGGCCTCTCCGCCCCCTTCGCCCTTCCTCTCCGCCATCCTGGCTGCGTTCCAGCCCGCCGCCTACGACAATGAGGAAGACGCTTGGCGTTGCCATGTCAACCAGATGTTGTCAGACACAGATGGGTCCTCTGCTGTTTACACGTTCCATGTGTTTTCTCGACTCTTTGAGGTAAATGGCTCTGGATTTGATTCAAGAGTGTCAGCAGTRCCAAACGTGACACGTGTGTTTTGTTTTTGTTGTTGTTTAATAGAATATCCAGAGGAAGTTTGGCTCTATCACACATGCGTCTGTTCGTTTTCTGGGAGAAAGGCTTCAGCGAATGGGCAACCAGTTCCTCAGCTCCCTTGAAGTCATGACATCATGCTCACAATGTCCAACTGTGCTGCTGGATGCAGAGACGGTAATTTTCTTCTTTGTGGCTGTTTTTAATAAACATGTTACAAATAAAAATGTCTTATTGTTTGCTGCCTGGCAGTAATGTGTCTGTATCATCTTGTGAACCAGAAAACGGATTTTAATATAACTCTCCAAAAAGAAATAATTTGATTTTCATCTACAACTGATACAGTTTCAACCCTGTTTATGATGGCCACCTTAGCAAACTCAAAACTGACTACAACTCATTTATTTTTAGAGAAAATGATGTCAAATCTGAGAGTCATTCACAAATCATCTCTAATTCTTACTTGAACGGTTGCAGCTGTAATAATTGCAATTTCCCCCCGGGGGTCAATTTCTGAAATCATGCTTCAGGAGCCTAACTCATCACTTTTAAGTATTAGACAGGTTTATAGTAACTAAGTACATTTACCGTATTTATTCAAGTGTAATACGTAAAATAAAATCTATAAAATCATCCATAAAGTTGGGGGGTAGTACTATACTCGGATAAATATTTTTACTTATGTTTTTTAACTGAAATATCGGCTTCATTCACAAACTTATTGAGTCCGGAAATGAGACTGCGTCGTAAAAAGCAGTTCAAACGAGCTRACCTCTGACACTCCTCTGTGCTTCAGAGAGAGATAATAACAGATCCAGGCAGGAGACATGATGTGAAGGGGGGGGGGGCGGTATTCCTGCACCTTAGCAATGATAATGAACTAATGACATTGGCGTGTGACCGGACCGCTCCTCGATCAACAACAAACACATGTTCGTCTGTAATGGCGGCCGTCTACCYGTGTTCTGAAAAAGTTTGCATCCCTGAAAAAAAGTTTCCCCACCAGAGGCCGGGGCGCTCCTGAGCAGGAAATAATCTGCTTTTCCCCCACAAGATGGCCCAAATCTCATGTGAAGCCTCTGACTTTTGTGTTGGCGCCTCCTGGTGGACTATGTGTAAAATGCCAGAATTCATATGATGCTGCTACAGCTGATCTATATTTGTTGTCAAAATACATTTCAGTACATATGTTGTTAAAATAAAATGAACAGTCCAATTTTACTGATATGTATAAAGACTGCAAAGGCTGAAAAGTCTTGAAGTCTGAATGAAATTGGAGGTAGTTTGAGGATTAAATTTTTTATGCTTTTTAAGCTCAAGAAAGGTGGGGTCGTGTTATACATGAGATCGTATTATACACGAATAAATACAGTAATTACTTTAATTGATGGATGTTTGGCCCCTGAGCTGTTGATCTGCAGTAACTGTGGCCCCTGGAGCAATTTAGTTGAATAGCCCTGAAATAGAGCTTCTCATTGGTTCACAACAGAAATGCTAGATCTTCTTCCTCCAGCTTCTRCATCATCAGCAGAAAATAAACATCCACTTTGCCACCATCACAGTCACGGTGGTGTTTGTGCATGACGTGTGCAGTGGGTGGGAGTTTCTCTTTACTGCAAAGTCTGAAAAATCTTGAAGTCTGTATGAAATTGGAGGAAGTTTGAGGATTAAATTTTTATGCTTCTTAAGCT